GCCGGCTTGCTTTGTTCATATATTAGGTATTAGTAATGATAATCTAGATCCCAGGGCTGTTAATTGTATCCTTCTTGGGTATTCATGCTTCCAGAAAGGTTATCATTGTTATTGTCCTGGTTTGCAAAAGAAATTTTTTTGCGTCGATGTTACTTTTCTTAAAATAATTCTTATTTTTTAGAAGAGAGTGGTGTGCTTGATGCAAATATTTTTTATCCTGCTTCTGAAGAAGTATCAAAGTCATTGCCTTATATGAATCCTCTTCCAATTCGTGTTGATACTTCTTCTCCCTAGTTACCAGTTCCAATGAATGTGGTACATCTACATGTCATGATGTTTCTGAGGAGCAGCCTATAAAGGTTTACACTAGAAGAAAAATGCAGGGTGGACATCCCCCATAAACTCAGCCAGCCACTCAATCATTATCTTATTCTGTTGATCCATTTCCTTCTTGTGATGATGGTGTACCTATTGCCATCCGTAAAGGTATCAGGTCTTGTACTCAACATCTGATTGCACATTTTGTGACCTTTACAAATTTGCCTCCATCATAACATAGTTTTGCTTTAGCCGTTTCATCTATTTATGTTCTTAAGTCCTATCAAGAAGCACTTTCTCCTACTAGGTGGAAGAGAGGATTGGAAAAGGAGATGATGCACTGACATTCAAACAATACATGGTGCCCACTGATTTACCAGCTGGAAAAAGGGTTATTCGGTGTTGATGGGTTTATGCAGTCAAATATCAACTTGATGGTACTATAGAAAGATTTAAAGCCAGATTGATAGCCAAGGGATATACAAAAACATTTGGCGTTGACTACTATGAAACAGTTGCCTGGTTGCTAAACTTAATTCAGTTTCAGTGGTTATATCTAGGGCTACCAACAAGGGATGGCTGTTGTGGCGACTTGATATCAAGAATACTTTTCTCCATGGTGATTTACCAGAAGAGGTCTACATGGAGCAACCACATGGCTTTGTTGCTCAAGGGAAGTCGGATAAAGTGTGTAAGTTGAAGAAAGCCATTTATGGCATGAAACAATCGCCATGTGCATGGTTTGAAAAATTCAGTGAAATTGTTATAGTATATGGATTTCGGTGCAATTATGCAGATCATTTAATATTTATTTGATAAACACGACTCCAGAAAAATTGTTTTAGTTGGCTATGTTGATGATATTGTTGTGACTAGCAATGATCAAGGACTCAGTCAAATAAGAGAAATCTAAAAACAATATGTTTAGCCGAAAGATTTGGGTCAGCTAAGGTATTTCCTAGGAGTTGAAGTAGCCAGATCAAAACCTTGCATTAATTTGTCTCAACGAAAATGTGTGACTGATCTGTTGACAGAAACTAGAATGTTGGGGCTAGACCAGTGGATATGCCTATGGATTCAAATACAAAATTGCTACCTAATTAGGGGGGGTTGTTTAAGGATCCAGTAAGGTACAGAAGAGTGGTAGGTAGGCTTATTTATTTGACCATTATGGGGCCTAATATTGCTTTTGCAGTAAGTGTTGTGAGTCGCTTTATGCATGCGTTGAGGATTCCTCATTGGAATGTTGTTTGTTGAGGTTTTGCCCTTTTATATTTTTTAATAAATATGTAAGTGGTTTAATATGTGCATGAGGGGTTAGTTTTGAACCTCATGTCACTCTCTTCTCTCTCACACATCTCTCATATCTCTCTCTCTCTTCTCTCTCTCACGTCTCATGTTTCTCTTCTCCCTCTACTTTTTCTCCTCTTCTCTTTTTTCTCTCTAGATTCTCTGACAGATTCCAGAAAATCTTTCTGGGTATGTAACAATTCTTGTAACTGCATTTCTTTGTGATGTGTCACAGATTGACAACCAGGAGCATAAACAAAGCACTCCAGTTCACCATTCTCATGCTTTTGCCCTTTCCCTATTATTGCCAAATGGAGGCTGTCTGACGTGAGTTGCTTATGTGTCATGGCCAAGTGCACATTTTTTTCTTTTTTCTTTTTATTGTATTTCTGTTATTATTTTCCACAAGTGTGCATTAGCATTTTATTAACTGTCTTCTAAGCTCTCACCCATTATTATTGTTTGTATATATATTCCTTCATGAAAGCCCACTTGATCTTTCTGATACAACTATACCAAGTCCAGAACCCCTTCCACATGCCTATCAGGGGTCTCATTCGAGTGGTCTAGCAAATCTTCAGGGAGCTGTTGGACACGTTCAATCTACTTCAGCATCAGCCTCCATACTACAAGTATCTGGTGGTGCGGTACTTGGCAATGGCTTGCCTTCCCCTCCTGGGGCATTCAACACACCTACGAGGTTGGCATCCATCATTATTTGGCTAATGTGATTGCTATTATGTAATGTTAAATATAGTCAATATATTATGTCACCTACAGGGAAGTGCAGCGCTATCCCTTAATGCGACCAACAACATCTATTACTTTGGATGAACAGCAACGAATGCAACAGTACAACCAACTGGTTTCAAGCAGAAACATCCTGCAGCCCAATTTGGCTGCTCCTAATGGCCTGCAAGACTGTGGGGGCGTTCGCATGTCACCACCTGGTGGTGGGAATAATATGGGCATTATTTGTGGGTTGAACCAATTGATGCCCCCCATGCAAAGGCCAGGTGGGTACCAGGGAATGAATTCACCACCCGCCGTGATTTCTGGACCAAGCAGCATGCTTTCTGCCAGTGGGATGCCCAACCCCATAAATGTTCACCTGGGACAGGGGAGCTCCATTTCAAGACCTCGAGAGGCCTTACATATTCTACGGGTGAGTGTGTCTACATTTTTTCTTTTCATTGAAGTATGGAAAAAAGCATTAAAGATGCATCTCAAAAATCCATCGGAAAATATTGTTTTAATGTTGAAAAACCCTCTAATTGATCATCTCGACATCGAGATGTATGAATATGAAAAAAAAAAAGAAAAAATATTTTGAGTCTTAGAAATAGTGCATCTTGCACCACATTATCTAGACTGTCCATTTTCAAGATTTTCATGTGTTTATAGTTCTATTTGATTTTAACCATTTTTGGAGTTTAAAATTTTATAATTCGATATGAAAATAGATTTTCAGATAATCCTAGTAATTTTTAACAACAAAATTACATGTTATGATAAAATTTGGAGGTGCGCCTTAATTGGATTGTTTAAGGTTGCTTATGGAAACCGCACCCTTAGTTAACCGCACCCTTAGTTAAGGTATTGATTCTTATTTTTTTAAACCATATTTCCGTCTTGTTGATTCTCTTCTTTTTGCATCTATTATTCCCTTGTGTGGAAAGTACTTATGGTGGCCTATCTATTAACACACTAGCAGAGGGGGCTCATAAAGAAATTATGATGTTCACTTTTGGAGAACAAGAGATTAATTGCTGTGTGAATGGTTTGTGATTTCCTTCTTCGGTTTACAGGCCAGTCAAACTCCCGAGGACCGGCGGCAGATGATAATCCAAGAGCTTCAGCTGCAAGGGAATGTGTCATTCAACAATATGAGTGCACCATTCTCTAATCAGATGGTCTCTCCATCGCCATCGCCACCGCCACTGCCACCACCACCTGCACAAGCTCAGACCTTCCCATTACAGCAGCATAATCAACAACCGTCATCGCTTGGGGTGAGCAACCACCACTCTCATCAAGTACAGCAGCCGCAAGTTCCTTCTAATCAGAGTCAATCTCAGGCGTACATGCTTCGCCTTGCTAAAGAGAGGCAGCAGCAGCAGAGGCTTCAGCAGCAGTTCACATCAGGTAGCCCATTATCTATGGCTCCCCATCCTCATCTCCAGCATCCCCAACATGTCATCCTTCAACAACAACAGGCGCCGCAGCCTCCTCATCAGCCTTTATTGGCATCATCATCATCACCCACTCCATCCATTAGTAACCCCATCTCTTCTCAACAGAAACACCAGCTCGTTGCTGTGCCACCCGGAGGACATCAAGTTGTTGGTCCTAACCAAATGTTAAAGCATCATCATCGACAGCGGCAGCAGCAACTGCAGCAGCATAGGCAACATCAGCAGCAGCAGCAGAGGCAGCAGGCCAAGCAGCAGCAGCAACTTATGAAGGGACCTTCTCTAGGAGGAGGAGGAAGAGGTGGAGGCAACATTATGAAGCTTGCTGCTATTGATACCACCACCTCTCACCACCTCAATGGCCTCTCGGCAGCAGGGAGTCATCAAGTTGCTGCTGACAAGGGAGAGCTGTCGGTCATTCATAATAATAATATGATGCAAAACCAACAACATTTGTTTACTGCTGGTGGCTCTGGTCCAAATTCAGGTAAGCACTCAATGATGCACCATGTGCACACGAATGGTGGTGGTGGGAAGGTGGTAGGACCACCACCACCGGCAGCAGCTGGTGCAATTCCTCCAGCTGCATCATCATCGTCGTCGTCGTCGACCACAGCCACCACCACTACACACCCTCATCATCAACAGAAGCAGCAGCAGTTCTCCTCCAACAGGTTGTCTTCTGCTGCTTCTTCTGCCTATACCCCATCTAAGCAACAACAGTTGAATCCAGATGGTACCAACACCACCCCCAAATCTCATCATCCTGGCACAGCACGGGTTCAGATCCCAGTCTCTTCCAATCATAACAACAGCAGCTGCTTTTCAATGCCACCATCAACATCACAACAACAAAACAACTCTCCTGTTGTAACTATGACTCAACAACAATTAGTGGCCCCCACTTGTTCACCTCCACTAACTTCCCCTGCTACTGTTGGGCCTTTGCAGCAAAGACAGTCTCAGCAACCTCCTCCTCCTCCTCCTGTTCCTCTTCAGAGAAGGCTGCAGCAGCAGCAGAACCGCCAAGCAGCAAGCTCAGATGCTCCTCACATAATGCAATCATCACCACTGGATCATCATCATCATCACCAGCATCAACTAACTCAGGCAATTAACAACACAGCATTTCAAAATACACCAACAGTGAGTACGACTACAGATGCTGTGAATGTCTCCTCCACTGCTCAGTGGAAGTCATCGATAGAGCCATCACCACCCTATGCTGCTGCTGCTCCTCAGCTCCCCACCCACCAATTGGCAGCAGCTGCGGCGATGGCTACCTCTCCGCAGCCTCCGACTTCTGCAGCTGATGCAGTGTTTCCCCTGCCTCCTGCCTCAGAAGGATTGCTTGCAAGACAGTATTCTGGTGGTGGTCAGTGGCAGCAGCCTCAGAATCAACAGCAGCCACAGCAACAACGTGGTGGAGCACAAAGTCCCATCTCTTCTAACACCACCACCACCAGCTTATATGTTGGCCCACCAACTTCGAGAAGCTGAATAACAACTAACATAGCTCAACTGCCTGCAAACTAGCTATAGCCATTTATTCCTTGGATCAGTAGCAACATGAAAGCAAGCATTGTTAGCATACTTATGGTAGTTCTCAAACATTTTCTGATTGTTAGCATACTTCTGGTAGTTCTCAAACATTGTTAGCATACTTCTGGTAGTTCTCAAACATTTTCTGATTGCCATATTGTAGCATTTATGCAATCTTTATCTGAATCTTAAAGTTTCCATTGCTTCATCAAAGAAAAAAAGATTAGATTCAATTGATTTGTTGTCATGCAGAAAACCAATGGGGTAGCTTGGAAGGGGTCTGGATGAAGATGAAGCTCTGCTTTCTGGCATTTTCATGACATGACGCTTCTGGCCATCTTGTATCGGCACCATCCATCTTTTTTTTGTTTTGTATAATTCTTTGTAGTTTAAATAACTTTTCTTAGATATTTTGCCCCCATTTCAGCGGGTAAGTATCTTCAATACAGGTTCACATCATGTATAGCCAATGTATGTTTTCGGGTTCTGTACATCATCGTCATCATCAATCAGGCATGTATTTAATCCCTGTTTTGGATGGAAACAGGCCAAGTGTAAGCTATAAAAGTGCAAATAATGATATGCCTACAAGCCAAACAAATTTCAATTTATATTTTGAGGAGTTGTTATATATATATATATATATAGAGAGAGAGAGAGAGAGAGACGAGAGAGAGAGAGAGAGAGAGAGAGAGAGAGAGAGAGAGA